AGAAGCCTGGCGATTGGTTGGTTTCAGGATATTGAAATAATTTCATTGGTTCTCTGAATAGGCATGTTTCGATCAGTATATGAATATATGTATATGTCGGCGTCAAACAGTGAAATCCGTCATTCTCTGGAATGTCTAGTCATTTCACGTATTGCCGGCAAACAGCGTAACTCTAGATTTCGTACACCGTTTGCCAAATAGTTTCAGGCATTCCCTGTGTAACGACGGAAGAAAGGTTCATTTAGGCGGAGCCAGCTTAGGTTTTTGTTTGTAAGCAGTAGGCTCTTTCGTTCTCTCAAGTAATTTTATGAAAAATACACTTTCTACAAAAAAGGTTCATTCAGGCGGAAAAAAAGTCTCCCTTCTTATGCATGCATATGCAGAGAGGATATGTTCCTTCCTAAACTCTCCGGCAAACAGAGTAACGGCTGAAAATCGAAGTTACGCTGTTACGCTGTTTGCCGACAATACGTGAAATGACTAGGCATTTCAGGAACTGACGGATTTCACTAATAATTGACGCCGACATATATATATCTATCGAAACGTGTAGGTATATTTGATTTTTGTTTTTAGAAATGGTGAGCATTTTTCAATGAGAAAGATACATAATTTTCAGTCGAAATAAAATTAGATTATGTCAATTATGATCTCTAATCCTGAATATAACCAGAAATACTCCAATGTGTATTTATAACTATGGAATTAATTTCATGGCAACTCCGAATTATCGGGTGAATAGATCGAAAAGCTGCCAGTCATTTGACTGAGTATATTCGATTTTTGTATTCCGAAATCGTAATCGTTTCTCATTGACGAAAACGCAAAACTTGATTCCGAATGAATCAAAATCAGATTTTGTGTCTGAATGAACTATGATTACTTATCCTATACAGGGTGAGTCATGTGTGTGGCAAAGTGAGACAACTGCTTTACTATTTGAGATAGATGAATAAAAATTTCAGATATGATCTAGGATCATGAACAGCACATATCCAAATTTTTTCGCTTAATACAGGGTAACTCAGAAATGCGTACGTATTGAAGTTATACTTTTTCTTGTCAGTAGATAGTAAATCAAAAGTTGGGATAGGGACATGAAAGCCGTTTTGACCAATAATGAATAGTTTCGACGCAAAAAAAATCCTAAAGTTGAAAAATCTCGATTTTGAACACCCTATATCTCTGTAATCATTCTCGCTAGACCCCAAGTGTGATGCATTGATGAAATCAGCTCACAAAGGAGAATGCGAAAATACAATGAAACACAGGGTGTCCCATAAGAAAAAGTATAACTATGATACGCCACGCATTTCCGAGTCACCCTGTATAAAGCGAAATAATTTGAAAATGTGCTGCTCATGATCCTAGATCATCTCTGGAACTTTTGTCTATCTATCTCAAACTGTAAAGCCGTTATCTCACTTTGCCACACTAATGACTCACCCTGTATATCATCAAGCATTCTCCAATGCGTGTTTGTAACATTGAAATGCATTATTTGGAAGTAGATTCGAATCCCCAGGATGATGTATTGAGTAGGGGGCAGTCATATAATGACTGTTATTATGATGCAAGTAAATCAGGCAAAGCAGATACTGCTCGAACAACAACATTTTTGGATTTTTTGGTGCTATTTTTTTTTTTTTTTTTTTTTTTTTTTATCGCTTGGAGCGCACGAAAGGGAATCCCTATAATGTACAAAGAACATCGTGCGTTCCTAGGGAGGATAGGGACAGGAGGTAGGTATTGGAATTTTTTTTGAACTTATGGAGATTATATGTTGTTGGGAATACTTCCACAGGCAATGAATTCCAGAGCCTAGCCGTTCTATGGATGAAGGAGTCTTGGTAGAGTGCTGTTCGACATTTTTCGAGGTTGACAACGAAGGGATGTGCTGTAACAGATGTATTGTCATTTGACTATTCGACTGTGTGAATGAAGTATAGGTAAATACTGTCTGTAGGTTAATCGAGGAGGTGGTATATTCATTATTCCAAATTTTTTGGGATTTTCTCTCCTCGTTTCTATAAAATAAAAATATGAATATTATTTCAATATACGTGTAGTAAGGACAAATCAGATGATTTGCCCCAAAATGTCACTGCGTTTAAAGAATTTTCCTATCAGAGAGCCTAAAAGAAAAATTCACTAGCTTTTTTTCAATACAAATTGTCACTGACAAGCTAGTGAATTTTTCTTTTAGGCTCTCTGATAGGAAAATTCTTTAAACGCAGTGACATTTTGGGGCAAATCATCTGATTTGTCCTTACTACACGTATATTGAAATAATATTCATATTTTTATTTTATAGAAACGAGGAGAGAAAATCCCAAAAAATTTGGAATAATGAAGTATAGGTAGTTGATATTTTGATAAAGTGACAAAACTTTTGTTTCAAGTGAAAAATATTTTGTCGTGATTGAGGAACAAGATATTTTTTGAGTCAATGAATATTTTCGCTTCTGCTAGTTGTTAATCATGGTCTACCATGCTATTATGAGATATAAATATGTCAAAAATTTCAATTTCAGCATAACATCCACTCATTTATAATTTGCTTGAAGTATCATACAGTGAAAATCGATTCAGAAAGTTCAACATATGCCATGGAGCACCTGATGGACAAACTGAAATGACTTCCTTGGATGATGTTGAACAAAATAAAAAAAGAAACATGAATATAGACTATGTCAACGACTGAAAAATTTTTTGTAGCAATCAAAATTATGTGAAATACCGTGACTCTAGAATTTTATTGTCGAATAACAAGGATACATGTGAATGGCATGCCAAACTATTTTGAAGTCGCTTAAGAGAAATATACTTATTTCACATTCTGTTTTCAATTTTAAAAAGTTCAAAATGTTATTCCTGATAAGTACTGTGAAACTATGGTCAGTGACAGTGAGATACAAGGAACATATATATTTGGGTACTTTTCAGAAACATAATCCAAAATTACTCTCTATGCCTCTCTGAATACTGACTATAGAAATTAAGAGATGAATATCGATGAAGTTTTCCTATGCGTAGATACTCAAAGAAAACTGGAAATATAATGGAATTTCATCGGTCTTTCATGGCTTGACGGTGTAATTTTGTATGGAAGAATTATAGTAGAGCAGAATCAACCAATGGTACGTGCTAATTCACAAAGTGGTTTTCATTGCACGTTTTTCTGGAACATAACAAAATAAACTCAACCGTATACCTACGTACTCTTCAACTTTCATTTTGCATTAACACAAGTTGAAATGAAAATCATGATACTACGCAGTTGAATTTACGAAAATACAAAATATTGTTTATATTCATCCATTCGGAATGATTAAAACAACATATAATATGGAGCACCTGATGAAAAAACTGAAATGACTTCCTTGGATGATGTTGAACAAAATAGAAAAAAAAACTTATATACTTATAGACTATGTCAACGACTATAAAATGTTTTGTAGCAATCAATATTATGTGAAATACTGTGACTCTAGAATTTTATCGTCGAATAACAAGGATAAATGTGAATTGAACGCATGTCAAATCATGTTGAAGTCGCCATAGAGAAATATACTTATTTCACATTCTGTTTTCAAATTCAAAAAGTTCGGAAGGTTTTTCTTGATTGGTACTGTGAAACTATGGTCACTGAGATACAAGAAAAATTGCTATTTGAGTACTCTCTAGGAACCTAATCAAAAATTACTTTCTATATTTCTCTGTATACTGACTTCGACATTTCAGAGATGCATATCGATGAAGTATTCCTATGAGAAGATACTCAAGAAAATCTGGAAATATAATGATATTTCATCGGTCTTTCACGGCATTTTGTATGGAGGAATTATAGTAGAGCAGAATCAGCACATGGTAAGTGCTAATTTACCCAGTGGTTTTCATTGCACGTTTTTCTGGAACATAACAGAAAAAACTCAACCTTATACCTACTCTTAAACTCTCATTTCGCATTAACAAAAGTCGAAATGAGAATCTTGGTACTTCGCAGTTGAATTTAGGAAAATACAAAATACTCAATCACTTAATGAAGAATATTGTTGAGTGCAATGATACAAGTACCTATTGTTTATATTCATTCATTCGGAATAATTAAAACAACATATTATATGGAGCACCTTCTGGAAAAACTGAAATGACTTCCTTGGATGATGTTGAACAAAATGAAAAAAAAACTTATATATATATAGACTTTGTCGACGACTATAAAATGTTTTGTAGCAATCAATATCATGTGAAATACTGTGACTGGAATTTTATCGTCAAATAACAAGGATAAATGTGAATGGAACGCATGTCAAACTGAATATGTTGAAGGCGCTATAGAGAAATATATACTTATTTCACATTCTGTTTTCAAATTCGAGAAGTTCGAAAGGTTTTTTCTTGATTGGTACTGTGAAACTATGGTCAGTGAGATACAAGAAAAATTGCTATTTGAGTACTTTTTAGAAACCTAATCAAAAATTACTTTCCATCTCTCTCTGTATACTGACTTTGGGATTTCAGGGATGCATTTCGATGAAGTATTCCTATGAGAAGATACTCAAGAAATTCTGAAAATATAATGATATTTCATCGGTCTTTCACGGCTTAACGGTGTAATTTTTTATGGACGAATTATAGTCGAGCAGAATCAGCCTATGGAAAGTGCTAATTCACCTAGTGGTTCTCATTGCACATTTTTCTGAAACATAACAGAATAAACTTGACCTTATACACACTCTGCGGGCCAGTCAGACACTGACGACTGACGAGGAGAACGGTAAAGCACCCTCCCAGATTGGCCTATTTCGTATGAAGGCATTGTTGTTGGTTGACACGGGGACATAAGGATAGCCTGCAAATACGGATTGGAACTCGGAACTCGGGACTCGGGGTAGGTAGGGTAGAGGGAGCAAGTAGCGCGTCGGCCTACAGGCGCAGCACGAGGGTACGGAGAGGGACGCGCGCATAACCACCTGGCGTCGCGCTTTCCCCCATTCAATCCAGTATCGACCGGCCGCCGGGTTACAATTTTACAAGAATACACTGATCGAAATCCATCCGAGACCTATGATAAAATCGGTACGGGCCCGGGGTTCCTAATCGAAGTGAGCATGCGAATCGGCTAGCGAATAGAGGAACCCGAGTGACAATGTCGTCTGTGCTAATCCATAGGGATGTTTTCGTGGCACCGCCAACGTAAACCCACCCGACCATGGGACGTCATTCGAAGCCGTCGTAAACACCACCAAATTTTCAGCAAAATCCGAATCGGTCTGCCCGGAGTATTGAGTGCAGTGCTAGTGAAAATTCATCGCGCCGGTTCATTCTCTACTATCGACTTACTTCCGATCGGTATGATTTCTCCTGCACGCTTCGGAGATGCTGACGGCTCTTCGGGGAGTTTGTCATGATGGATAATATTGGAAAAATGATCGAACAGCAGTCATTAGGTGAGCAAACGATCGATTCTCCAGATAGCAATGCGCATGCGGTAATATCTGGTGGCATGGAGACGCAAGTTGTCCGTATGAGACTCGTTTCACGCGCCGTTGTCGAGAGGCGTCTCGTCAAACAAGAAGAGGTCGATGGCGCTCTATCCGTCATTGTGCAGCCCCAAGAAGAGTCGAGGGACTCTGAATTACTCAGTCCTGGAAAGCTTTCGCCCAACTCGGTTAGCGTGGCGAATATGATAGATAACAATGATTACAGGACCTTGAACCCTGAACCTACTTACCAAACACTGACCTCGGTGAACGGTAGGATGTCTCCTCCAGGATACAGCCCCAGCTCATCGTACGCCACGCTAACTCCACTCCAACCCTTACCGCCCATATCAACAATGTCCGACAAATTCGCCTATGGCCACGCTAGTAATGTGACGGGTTCCTTCACGGTTATGCAGAACAACAGCATCGGCGGCATCAACTTAGGACTTGGTGTCGGAGTTAGTGCCAGTACCCCTTACAGCATGACCAACATGGGGATGACTCCCCCGCACAATTACTCTTCTCCAGGAATGGGTATGCAGCAACAGTCTAGTCCAATAAGTCCTCAGAGTACGTACAGTCAAAACGGTTTACCCTCTCCTCAGAAGAGTATGTCACCTCCGAGCTACGATTCTCCATATGGAAACCAAAGGGACATGGTACCGCGGTTGCACAGTCCTCAACTGAGCCCTCCTTCTGCCTCACTCAACTCCCCAGATGGTACTTTGGTCACCAGTTTCAGTTCAACCAATCTGAACGGACTAGGTTTACAAAACCACCCACCTACACTAGTGCAAATAGCACCTCCTCAACGTGACTGTTCTCCATCTCCCCCAGTAGTTACCCTCCAGGCTGCCCCTTCTGTGAACCAGCACCAACAGTCCCAACAACAGACAATGCAAATTTCTACTAAAAATTCTAGTCCAGGATCCCTCAGTGTCCCAGCCATAGCTGCTGATGTGGAGGAGATCAATACCAAAGAGTTGGCCCAGAGGATCAGTGCCGAATTGAAGAGGTATAGCATTCCCCAGGCCATTTTTGCCCAGAGAGTGTTGTGTAGGTCGCAAGGAACTCTTTCGGATCTATTGAGGAACCCGAAGCCTTGGTCCAAATTGAAATCAGGAAGAGAAACGTTCAGAAGGATGTGGAAGTGGTTGCAGGAGCCGGAGTTCCAGAGGATGTCTGCTCTTCGGCTCGCAGGTTTGTTTACTATTCAATTCTTCTATAGGTATATTTTTGATTAAACTTGTGAATAACCTCGAGAATAACCAAGAAACCAACTCTCCACTAGCCGAGCCACTAGCGGTAGTATTCATCTGAATGTTGCTCGGAATGTTGTCTCGAGCAGGACACTGTCCTCGTTCTCACTAACTCAGATTTTGGAGCTCATATTTTTCAAACAGATCAAGTAATATTGATGCAGACTTGTAATAATCCACGAGAATTAAGATAAATGATCGACTGATATTGTGGTTTCCAATGTTTCAAAGGAATAATAGCCGATATAAGTGGGTAGAAGAAAACACTTTCTCTACGACTGTTACATAATAACTTCCAAAGTTTGGATCATTCTGAAATGTAGGGTATGGGTATTATCCGAGGTATTATCAGAATCGAAATGATTTTCTCAGGAAACACACATGGTTGCAAATTGAGAAAAACATGATGTGACATTTCCGGACATTCTGGACATTCCAAAACTCGTGTAAATACAAATCACCGATTTCAGATTCCTAAAGTTTTTTGTGTTCCAAGGGGTACGTTGATTTCTCTCTCGATTTTTCGGGTTGAAATATTATTTAATTTGTCTTCATTTTTCTTCGTATTATCACGTATTTTCATAAATAATATAATACCAAAGGAGCTAGCAACGCCACTTTCGAATTTCGACATGAGACACATCTCATAATTTTAGACCGAGTTTTAGACTCATTTTGGGCTAATTTATTACCCCATTCCCGAATTTTTTGCTCCTTTCATATAAACATCTGGGGCTTTGCTATAGCTTCGGCCGAACTCAGCAAAGCCATTTTTGAAAAACAATATTTTTTGATGACCTGATATAGTGAAAATGTAGTGCTCATTTTAGGCTGATTTATCACAATATTCCCAATTTTCCTGCTCCTCTCTATCATAGAAAAATCTGTGGCTTTGCTAGCTTCGGCCGAACTCAACAGAGTCATTTTTGAAAACATTGATTTTCCACCGATTTGATATATTGAGATTAAATGGCTAATTTTAGGCTAATTCATTACCCTATTTTCGTATTTTTTGCTCAACGCTTCAAACAGAAAAAATACGAGACGATTTTTCGAAATACGCGTCATCCACTGTACATTATGTATTTCTATCGAAAGCATATTCTATGACGATTTCATGTTAGTATTGCCTTTCAAAATCGTCATAAAATATGCTTTATAGCATGTATAGTGAATAACCGTGAATAACACACGCATAACCGAGCGCATAACGCATAAATATCACGAATCGTTTCGTGTTTGTCAGTGTTTGTTTTGTTCCAAAAATTCAGCTAAAAATTCGAGAATAGGGTAATTAATTAGTCTAAAATCAGCCTGAAGATCCCAATGTATCGAATCGGAAAAAAATATCACCTTTAAAAAATGGCTCTGCTGAGTTCGACCGAAGCTAGCAAAGCCACAGACTTTTTCGAGGACTTCTCTATGGGGCGAGGAATGGGGTAATAAATTAGCCTAAAATGAGCCTACAATTATGAGATGTGTCTCATATTGAAAATCGAAAGTGGCTTGGCTAGCTTCTTTAGAATCATTTTTTCGCTAACTACTTGAGTTGAAAAAATTGGGTTGATGTTGAAAAATCGTTAATTAGTTGTTATCAAATACTATATGCGAGATATGTTTAGATCTCGGTTTAGATCGAGGTTTAGATGTTTTCCGAATGTTTTCCATTGTGCCAAACGGCTGTGTCCGTTTTATATACCCCTGAATAATTCAAATGGAGATGATGATTAAAACAATAATAATGATAATAATCGAGATTATAATAGTGAATATCGAGGTGAATATAGATGGTTGTCATTCAGAAAATGATGATAAAAAGAATGAAATAAATAGCCAATACAAACTGAGTCACCTCAATCGAATCATTGATTTGAGACATAAACTGCTCTATATACAAGGTGCTATTCAAATAAGTGGTTTAACTTCAAGAGGTGATACTTTGGGTGATTCGGTGATTCTAAGACGAAAATTTAATTAAAACAAACGTCTAGAAATACAAAATTAACACATTGTCGAACCTCTTATAAAAATTATTTCTTCGTTCATCTAATAATTATGGCTGAATTTTATCACTACCTCGATCACTACTGAAAAAAGTGTTACTGCTGAATTTCTACAAGACTGGGAAGACGATTTTCACAATATTTACGAAGAACCGTTTTTGTAAAAAAGCGTTTCTTGAAAAATATTGCATTTTCAAACGTATGTCTATACAGGGTGTCCATAGATGAAACCGACAAAACTCATGGTGTTATTGCTTGGGTTATAGGGACTGCCAATATAAATCCAAAATGCGAGCCAAAATGCGATATACAAATGTCTAAAACTGCTTCGTTACTGACATACAGAGTGATCCATAGATTCGAACAAAATCTGCCTTATTGAATACAGGGTTTTCCCGATTGTGTTAAAATTTCTCGTCAAATTTGGTACATGAATTAAACTAAAATGCTTCAACAATTAAACTTCTGAACGAAGCCAATATCAAGACCGAAATATTATTTTTTCCTATGTTGAGGTATATCAGCTCGTATATCAGTAATCTACAAGAAAAATACTATATGGGAACTTGTCGGAACTTGTTGAGAGAGTTTCTGGCAAAATTTCAGATATACGTAATCGAGTCCGTAATAAATGATTATTTTATTTTTTCCGAATTTTTTCCATCAATTGTCGGATAAAATATCACCAAAAATGGAAATATAATGAATTTTCACGAAACCAAGACACAATTATTGGTATTGTCTTTGATTACCTATCAGGGGTGGAATGACTCTTTTTCATGTTCTTGTAAGTTTAACTGACCAAGTATAACAATATTAATTTATCTGATCGTAGATTAGGAATAACTGAAAAATTATATAGGAACTTGTATTGTAATACTCGAGGGGCGAACCGCTGATAATATTTTGTACACCAGACTCCACGTTTCTGTGATAATTCATGGACTCCACTGAAGTACCACGAGAATTCATCAGTAGTTCATGGACTTCTTGTAATTCATGAAGTAGTTCATGATAATCGTGATACTTCTTGGTAATTCATGGTACTTCTTGGTAATTCATGGTAATTCTTGGTAATTCATGGTACTTCTTGGTACTTCTCGATAATTTATGATACTTCTTGGGACTTCTTGGTAATTCATGGTACTTATTGGTAACTCAACAAACAATTCATATTTCTCCCGGTTTTAGCAAGCAGTGCATATATAGGCGTTATAAATAATTCATAGGTAGTAACTTACCTTTGAATTACAGTAGGTAATTCATGTATAGGTGAGCTGAATGTATTCCTAAAATTTGGAATGAGGATTCTGTTGGTATTGAAGATCTCAATGTTGTATACAGTTGAATTGTAGAGTATACATAGAAGAAGAAGATGGGAACGCATGGGAACGTGATCGACCCATTTTACTAAGGAGTAAATCGATTCAAAATCCACCTCCAAATTCATATATTACCTCGATTACCTGTCTATTTACATATTTTTCTTATGATTTTCGTCTAATACAAACAAAGTGTCTGATTTATAACCTGACTTATATAACTCTTAATGAATAATCGGTGATGTAACAGATGTATACTCAGTTTAGCTCTCCACTCAGTTGTTGATTTTCATCGACCAATGGCGAGTGCAATATATAGGTAGAAACCTAGAAACCTATTCAGATAGGTAATCCAGTATAATATTGATTATGAAAATGCATAGATCACTTATAATTCCTTATAATCAGGCGCCAAATCCCAGACCAAATCACGACAAATTAACTACAAAAGTGTCCATTGTACTAGAAATTGTTCCTACCTGATGAGTTCAAGGACCTGCCTGATATACAGGGTGATATTTGAGTATCTGGCGAATCTGAAATAAGAACTCTAGATATGAAACCGATAAAAAAACCGGGTTATAGGGCCTGCCACACTGAAGTACCACGAGAATTCATCAGTAGTTCATGGACTTCTTGTAATTCATGAAGTAGTTCATGATAATCGTGATACTTCTTGGTAATTCATGGTATTTCTTGGTAATTCATGGTAATTCTTGGTAATTCATGGTACTTCTTGGTACTTCTTGATAATTTATGATACTTCTTGGGACTTCTTGGTAATTCATGGTACTTATTGGTAACTCAACAAACAATTCATATTTCTCCCGGTTTTAGCAAGCAGTGCATATACAGGGTGTTTCCTAATTGAATGTCAATATTTGAGGAGGCGATTCTTGGGCCCCTTCAAAGAAGAAAGTTTCATATGAACGTATGACCTAAACGTCCTAACGTTTGAGATACAGGGTGGTCAAGTTCTCAAAAATTAATATAGCCTACTACAATGAAAAGAAATAATTCCAAAATACCAAATACGAATACGAAGTTCATAAACTATGAATTGTATTTCTGGAAATTGATCTAAAAAATCAAATCTATTCCTCTGCATTGTGATATTGTCATATTAACGATATTGTTATAATCATGTAGTGAAAAGCTTTTTATTTTTTTAAGCGAAAACCGTGCATGAGATCGAAAGAATTGTAGTGATCAAGTTTGCTAAGAAACGATTGGGAATTTCATTAAAGATTTCAATTTCGAGATTAATCAGTGGCGTACCATCAATGTCTGCCAAAATAGGTATGTGAAATTCCATACGAACGCCACTGGTGGCAACCAACAAAAATGTGGTACACTTACTGATGCCTCTTGATACATAGTACATGTATGCCAAATTTCATTAGAATATTTGAAGTAGTATTACAGATATTGATAAAAAACTATTAATTTTTGAGAACTTTACCACCCTGTAACTCAAAAGTTAGGACGTTTAGGTCATACGTTCATATGAAACTTCATTCTTAGAATTGGCCCGAGAATCGCCTCCTCAAATATTGACATTCAATTATGAAACACCCTGTATAGGCGTTATAAATAATTCATAGGTAGTAACTTACCTTTGAATTACAGTAGGTAATTCATGTATAGGTGAGCTGAATGT